CGAGACAATTTGGAATGATTTCTTGGATTTGATTGGCTAATATCTGAAAATATCATATGATATACATAACCAGTTAGTTGCCAACTATAGTTAGCAACTAACCGGTTGGTAAAATTTTAACAATTTGGAACACTAGGGTAGGGGTTAAGCAAAACCTTACCTTATATAAAACAATTATAGCCAATCAAATTTAGCTAAATATCTTATCTGGGGTGGGGCCTCTATAGTAAAAAAATATTAGATAATAAATATCAGCACCCTAATACTTGTTTACTATCTCACAAAGCCTTCAAATCATTTTGTTTATGTTAATTTTTATTTAGCCCAAGAGTATAAAAATATAGTAGTTTATTATAAGTGAAGCAAAACCAGCAAACAAAAAAAAAAAAAACTAGCAAATCAAATTACTTAATTACTATTGCGTAATACTCTTCAAATTATTCATTTGTATAATTGTATTATTTAGCCTATAATAGTAAGAAATCAATGAACTAGTAAATTATAAATATTTATTTGAGTTAAAATTAGCAAAACAAAAAAAATATAATAAATAAAAAACTATGAATTAAGTAACAAATAAATAACATATTGTAAAGTATAAAAAATAAACACAGCACCCTCTATTCTACTTTTTTTAATTTCAGATTAGCAGAAATAGCAATAAAATCTTTAATCAAGTTATTTCTATTGATCTGAATTTGAAAAAAGTAGGGTAAAGAGTGCTGTGCTTATTTTTTATACTTTATAGTAATTAATAATAAAGATAATTATTTACTATTGCACAATGACTAGATCATTTCATTTACATTAATCAATTTATTCAACTTGAGAAATAAGAATTATTAATATGTAATAAGAAAAATCAAATTTATAAGTATAAAGAATGTTCGAAAAATACATATCTTTTGCATGCTCTTTGCATATCAACTCCGGTTTTATACTATTTTTGTTCTAATTAAGTAAGCAAATGTTTAAGTTTTTCAGATTAAATACACTCTAGTATACTATATTATACCAAGTTGTATATTAAAGTTTATATGATTGATATTGCTTAAATTTGTAAATTTCACCTTGTATTAGTAATTTATCTTTGGGTAAGTAAGCCATATTTTTAAATGTATAAAAAAGTTAAAAAATAGGAAATTTATAAACTTACCTATAGTGTATACACATGGGTATCAACAAACATAAATTTATTAATTTATTTATAGTGTATGAACATGAGTATTAACAAACATGAATTTATTAATTTATTCATAGTATATAAACACAGGTATCAACAAACATGACGTACATAGAATATGATGTACGATCGGCATATAAATAAAATATTTGTCTTTTACTTACTTTTTTTTTGATCTTTCAAATTTGATCAAAAGCTTTTCACAATGAATGAACCTGATATGAACAAACCTGATTTTTTCTTTGACCCTGACCTTTTTATTGAGTTTGACTCTATTGATGATTAAAATAAAACCATTTCGACTTCATTAAAAGTTCGCATAACACTCTAGCTATATTCTTGTATTTCTATAATTAATGAATCATCTAATTAAAAACTATTTTTTTTACCATAACAGCTTTACAAATCAAATATGGCAAGAACTAATGCAGCTTTATTTGAAAATGAACCAGTTACCTTTGATTCATTTTTAGAAAATGATGTGATTATTCCACTATTTCTTTGTTCTAATGTTATTTAATTAAGAGTATTTATTATATTAAAGAATTATTTCTTACCTTGACAGGATGATTATATCTTAGCTGATTATGAATCAACTTCATTGGCTTCAGTTTCATTGGTCTTAGCTTTATTGGCTTTAGCTTTAGTGACTTCAGCTTCATCAGCTTCGGCTTTATCAAAAGCTCATATAAGAATTCTTGTTTTTATTTATATACTTATATACTTATTTCATTTAAATTGTCAACTTAATATTTACTTGCTATAACAGTTATTGGAATCTAGTATGCTACCAACAGATGCTTCATTTGACAATGAGTTAGATATATCAACC